CATGAAGGGACAAGCTTCCATCTGCCCCCTGCAAGTTCCAGTAATCGGTCACTATTTATAATTATATAAACAAGAGAAAAACATGCTCTAGCCGCCCTCCCCAGAGAGCCCCCGTCTCCATTTTTAGGCAGCCAGCCCTCCCACTCGCCCTAGAGCTGCGACCCTCCAAGGTCTGGGGGGCCGGCTCCCGCCACCCTTTAGGATGGAGAGGCTGGGGCAGCGGCCTGAGTGCAGCCCAGGAGCGGCGGGGGCGCTTCACTGGGAGCTGAGGGATCCGGGGAACTCGGTCACCCAGAAAATGATTAAATAAGGGGGTATAAGGTGGAAATTCGAGTGCAAGTTCGGTCGATTTGTCTCACGAGGTATTGTGGGGGAGGAGAGCGACGGAGACAGGAGAGTCAGGCTGGCTGTAAAGTCCTGGATCTCGTCCCCTGAGAAAGGGAGTGGACAGTGGGGGAGCCGGCCCTTTCGCCCTTGCTGAATCCTCTCTAGCAAGATGGGGCTGGGGAGCATCAAGGTTCAGAGGGCAAAGCAAGCAACCCCTGGGTTACACAACCAGGAATGGCTGAGCCCTTGCAGGGGATCCAAAGCAGAGTCGAGTCTATGCTAGAACGTTGTCACCCATGGTTCACCTAAAAGATCAGGGTGCCTCAGGCAAGAAAGAATTGTTTACAAGATAACCAAAAGGACAGCTTGAATTCAAGAGGCAGATGGGAGATGATTCTTCTCTGATTCCATTCACGAGACCAACATAAGGAGCCTTAATGAGCTTAAGAGAAAAACTGCCCATGTCAGAGCCCAGACAGAGATGTGGGCGTGAGGCACCTGCAGGGTTTCCAACCCTGGACAGATTTTATGGGAGCATCGCTAATCCTTACTTGTTTGAGACGGTTTAGGTGTAGTCTTCCCTAAGTCAGAGGCTAAGCAAGGGGGCACTTGCATTCCCTGTACATTTCCTTAGAATCAGGAGCCTGAAGATTAAGGGAAGAGTCTTGTTGCTCCCAGAACATTGCTGAGCCTTGGGAGTAACCCTAAGTGATTAGAGGGATAGGGAATCGAGACACGTATTATAGGAACTGCCATTTGTCCAACTTCATATCTGTACTGATTCTGGTTTACCACACATTCTGTGAATACCTCGGTGTTCCCATCAATAAAATGGGCATGTGTTAGGTGCCTCTCCTCCAGACTCCCACAGCAGCCAGTATCCTATTAGTGTGCCATGATGGTCTGTTTATATCTCTTTCCTTCCTGACTCTGGGATCCCCTGAGGTCAGGGACTGGCTCCTTTCCTGTAGTATTTAAATTCCTGGCACTCGATGGTGAGCGAATGGGGGCGCCTGGCTGGCTCAGTCAGAAGAGCATGTGACTCTCTATCTGAGGGTCATGGGTTCAAGTCCCACGTTGGGCGTAGAGATCACTAAATAAATAAACTTTAAAAAAAATAGTGAGTGAAGGAACATATGAATAATAACAGTCTACTGTGTAATGGTGTGACATTTGGCTCCAACTGGCTTGCAAGATCGCATTGTCAGACATTCAGGAACTTTGCAAGCCCCTTGTCAAATTATTGGTAGCTTGAAATTGACATGGGGGGAATATTTACACCCTGGAAATAGGCAAATGCTCCAAAGTAAGGCTTCCCCCTGCTTTACCTACACACCGCTGGACTAGATGGTATTTCCTCTGTTAGGCACTGTTTTAAGCACTTTACAAATATCCACATTTAATCCTCACAGCTACCCCGAGGAAGGCACCAATATTATTGCTGTTTTACCGATGGGTAAACTGAGGCCCAGGGAGATGACGGCACTTGCCCGCATATGGTTTGGGAGCCTTCCCTAAAAGGAATGCGGGAGAGCCATGGGAAGACCATCCTCGAAGGCTCTGGGTGCCGCTGCCCTTTGCGGACTCCCAGGTACCAGCCATTCTAATCTCTGCCACCGGTTTTAATCAGCTCCTCTGGGAGAAGAGAGGCAGTTGCCTGGTGACTGAAGTGTTTTCCAGCCCTCAGAAGGTCACGCTGTGTGGGGGGAACCTAAAGATCCCCACCCAGGGTGCCCCTCTGACAGTAGTCCAGACAGCAGATACAATCAGCCCAGCCAGACCCCACACAAAGCTCCAGACCTCTTTCCTGCTCTGACGCCAGAGCCATTGCTAGGATTGAATTAAAGCCGTGACGTCCTGGAACAGGAAGCAGCAGGCTTTGTGCAGGGGACGTGGGGGGAGCCCCTGCTGCGTATGTGCATCACGGCCAGAGCAGGGGGGCAAGAGCCCAGGGCCCCCAAACCTCATGGATACAGCCGTCCGCCCAGTGTGTACCTCTGGCTTGTCCATTTGGGTCTGCAGTTGGGGGGGAGTCATGGACTCCCTGAAGCTCGGTTTAAGGAATAACAGAGTCTTTTCAGGCACCATTCTGGCTCGAACATTCCAGATCTTTCTGGGCCCAAGTTAGCCCTTGTTTGACCCCTCTACATTCTCACCTCCTGTGTGTCTGTCTGCCCATTCCTCCAGGAGCTTCTTAGGAGCCAAAGTGTGGCTCTTGATGATTCCTGGTTGTGGCCCTAGGACCCAGCCAGGTGCCTGAACACAGCAGGGCCTCAGTAAATGTGCAATGAATGAATGAAGGCGCGAATCCCCCGATTGTGCCTTGGCCTCTCCACCTTCCCGGTGCTACCAGGAGCTCCTGATTATTTCTCCAAGGCTTGCCATCAGGAATCAATTCCCCTTGATCACCACACCTCAGCCTTCCCCTCTTCCAGCTCCCTACAGGCTGGTGAAGGTGGCTTGTTTGGCAGCAGACCCAGGAGGGTGGAGGGAGGCCCTGCGGAGGCCTCTCAGAGGAAGTGATCTGAAGAGGAAGACCCAGCCATAGGGAGAGGGAGGGGAAGGCAGTTCCAGGAGAAGGGGCAGGGGCCAGGACTCCTCTAGGAGCTGTCAGTGCTCAGTGGGGCTTGAGCTGAAGGTGCCAGTGTAGACAGGTCACAGAGTGAAAACAGGCTCCCTTCACCCCACCCACTGGGGGCCTCTTCGTGATCACCGAGGGGCAGAGCAGAGCCATGTGCACCCCTCCTCCCCCCGCAACGGCCCCAGGGCTTTCTTCCCTACCCACCTGCACTGTCTCTAGCTCTGGGAGCAGCCAGGCTAAGGGGGAGGGGGTGCCATCCTGAGCATGCTATTTTCAACCTCTTCGGCAGCCAGCCCCATCATTTAATCCTTAGATAATATAATAAAATTCCAGGAACTGCTGTTTTACATCAGAATAAAATTGTGTCCAGCAGTGGTGGGTCATTCCCAAGGGGCCAGAACCCCTTTCCTGACCCTGAGGTCAATCTGGGTGTCTCAATTCCTTCTGCCTTGAAATGCAAGCTCTTGAGTCCAGTTAACTCAGACCAGCTGATGCCCCACAGTCCGCACTTCCCCAGCTTGGCTACCTCAGCCCTGCCCTAGGGGGCTTTTGAAATGCAGATTCCAGGGGCGCCTGGGTGGCTTAGTTAAGCATCCGCCTTCCGCTCAGGTCATGATCCCAGGACTCTGGGATTGAGCCCCAAGCCCCACATTGGGCTCCTTGCTCAGCAGGGAGCCTGCATCTCCCTCTCCCCCCACTTCCCCCGCTTGTGCTCTCTCTCTCTCTGACAAATAAAATCTTAAAAAAAAATGCAGATTCCCTGGGTGCGCTCCCACTCTTTCAATGCCAGCAGAGTGTAATGGGCAGCTGGACTTTCCACCAGGAGCGGGGGCTCATTCTGCAGCTCTGGCTAGGTTCAGGACCCCCCCCCCCCCGCCGCCCCGGCCCCGGAGGTTCTGTAGTCTATAGGTATGGGCAATTGGTTCTCAGCATCCTGTCCCCAGTGCCCTGTGAAACTGATGTAGGTGGGTCCACCCAGGTCTTTGTGAACACCAAAGGACCCATGCCCACCCCACCCCCAGCCCTGTCACAGAGCCTGGCACCCAGGACATACACTGAATACAGGCCAGACATGGATGGCCGCATCATGAGGCACTGTGGAGGGCAATGGTCTGGCTTTGAGAACCAGAAGATGTTGACTTTGAATTTCTGCCCTGGCTTTGTGACCTTTCTGAGAATCAGTTCCTCCCTTGTAAAATGGACAGGATTCCAAAGCAACTGCTTTGTGCGGTGTCCCATGGCAGCCCCTTCTGATGGACAGCTCATTAACTATTATAGTCCTCATTTTAAGTAGAAGGAATCATGGTCAAACAGGTGGCAGGACCGGCCAGGGTCATCCAGCCTGACCACAGAATCCAATTCCTTAAGCCAACTTAAGGCAAAACTTCTCCCAGGAGGCTTGGGGAACCACCCGCATTACATTCTCTGGGCGGTTTGAAATGCAGCCTCCCGGGCCCTGCCTGAGCCAGAATGGGGATGGAGGGGCGGGGCCACGAAGCTGCCTGCTCCTCAAGTTTGGAAAACTCCCGCACCCCAAGCTCCTGGGCTGTGCCACTAGGATGGGCCGCTGTGGCATGTGGTGTGTCCACTTCATCAGGGTGCTGGGAGGGGCCGAGGGGCTTTCCTGGAATGAGCCAAGCGAAGCACCTTGTGCGCATTTAAGGTGGATTACTATTATTATATTACCTTTATTGCTGTTCACCAGAGAGCTAATTAATGCTGGCTATATTTCTTCACTGTCCCAGGTGAGTTTCCCTTCTGAGATATGGTAGGATGTGTGATGGAACCGGGGTGGGGGTGGATGTGGAACCTTCCCGGGGTCCGATCCCCCCCCACCTACCCCCCAACTCTGTTCACACCTGCCTCTTTCCAAAGCGGGCAGGGGTGCGGAGGCGGGGAGGTGCGACGAGCACGGCCGCTGCACGGGGGGACGGGGGAGGGAAACCTTGGTGGTGGGCATCTAGGTCCCTCACTCCCTTCCACGCCTCCCCGCCGTTTCTTTCTGGCCCGGGGCCGAGCGCTCCCCCATCCCCGCAGTGAGCGAAGCCGGCGCGCGCTAGGACCGCGGCGCGCAGCCCTCTGCCGCTATAAGAGGCCGCGCTCGCGCCCCACGCGGAACCCGCGGCTCAGACCTGTCCCCGGCGTCCCGACCCGCGCTGGACCCGAGGCCGGACCGGCCGCTGCGCAGCCGACGCCAGCCCGGGGCCTGCGAGGGACGCGCGCCCCGGGGCCCCCGCCGCAGGCACCATGGGCGCTGCCCACTCCGCGTCCGAGGAGGTGCGGGAGCTCGTGGGCAAGACCGGCTGTGAGTATCCCGCGGGGACACGGGCGGGGACCGCCGGCCGCCCGGCTCGGGGCTCCCAGCCCACGGCCGCTCGCCGGGCTCCGCGCCGCCGCGCTGTGTGACCTTGGGCTAGTAGCTGGCCCTCTCTGCGCCTCAGTCTCCCGTTCCTGCAAATGGGTTCCCGCCGGCCACTTTGCCGGCTGCGGCGAGGAGCTCCGCGGCGATGCTGAGTAAGTGCCGCGGCCGCTCAGCCTCGGCGCCCGCGGAGTTGGCAGGGAACCCCCGGGCCTGGGGACTGCGGACCCGGGAGGGAGCAGGGCCCGGCTCCCCCAGGGCAGGGCTGGCGTCCCGGCTCGGAGGGCGAGAGGCTGGGCCGCCCAGCCGGTGTGCGCGCTCCGCACCTGAAAGTCGTTCGGGTTCGCGAGGCGCAGGGGCCGGAAAGTTTTGAAGTCGGCGGGACCTGGGTGGCAGCCGGGCTCGGGCATTCCCCGGCCGTGTGACCTCGGGCGGGCGAGCCCGTCCCCCTGCGCCTCTCTTCATCCTCCTATCTGTAAAGGGTGTTCATCGGGTCCCCCTCCCCGGGTAGCGGGTGGCGCCCGCGGAGCACCTGGCTGGACCCCGACGACCTTCCTCGAGCTCGCCCGGTCTCCTGGACCCGCATCCGGCCAGAGGCTGGGCGCACGGAGTGGCCGCGCCGCGGGGCCGACCTGGACGCAGGGAAGTGACGGTGGTAGCGTTTGTCCTCCCCAGTCCAGCCGGGCTGGGAACTTGACCCTGGCCTCTGACCCTGGGCTGGGAACTTGACCCTGGGCTCTGACCTCGGGGTACCGCGTTCTGTTACGGGCTGTGAAGGGGTGTGTGGACCAAAGACGGTGAGCGGGCAAACTGGACAGGCGGATGTGAATCCTGCCAACACCACTTCCTGGCTGTGTGACCTTGGGCTAGTCACTTCATTGCTCGGTTTCCTTCTCTCTAGAATGGAAGTTCTCCTAGTACCTGCTAGATGCTTAAGAAATGGGAGTGCAGATGTTATTTCAAGGAAGGACCTGGCTGGCTCCTGGCACCTGCTTTGAGTTTAGGGCAGCCAGCCAGGTCCATAATTGATCACCTGGGTGGGGGTGGGGAATGACCCAACCACTTGTGCCAAGGCTGAAAGGCGACCCCTGCTGACTCCTAATCTAAACACTTCTGTCCAGGAGAATTGGGTGAAAATTACAGAAAGCCCCTCAATACCTCGTCTGGGTGGGTGGGAGTGTGTATACATTCATGCATCACATGCACGTGTTATGTTTTCCCATGTGCAATCACAGAATTATCTGTGACTGGAGGGAAAAAAAACTAGTATATATAATATGGAACACTTTTTAAAAAATAAGAGCATATATTTGTAATTGCTTTGTTTGCATCAAGGACCTTGGAAGGATCCACAAGGAAGTAAGAAGAGTGAATACTTGCAGACTGGGTGGAAGGGATGGAGAGGGAGTGAGGTTTCACTATAGATTTTTTTATAGTTTCATTTTGAGCCATGTGTGAATATAAAAGTTTTGAGTCCTCTCCAAGGCTCACGTGAGAGGGGAGGTAGGGTTCCCCTCCTTCTTTCTTGGGTTTCCCCTGGTTCTGTTAGTTGAGCTCTTGTTGCCTTGGGTCTGCACTGGTGGAAGTCAGGGCTCTCTGTAGCTGGGATTTCTGCCAGCAGGGTGGCAGCCCCCCATGCAGGCAGTTGGGGGGAATTCCGTCTGGTGGTGAGTTTGATAGGTGATGGGACCTCGGAGCATGCTGGGAATCATGTCCCGTTTCCTGGGTCTGGTCTCGCGTGAGGAAGACGGATGCTGACGGTTCCCCTGTAGCCTACCTACAAGTGGCTGATGGGCTTCCGTTCTAGCTGCCTGGGACTCCACTTTCATACCCCAAAGCGGGGAGGGAGATGGGGCCGGGGCCATGTCAGGAAAGGGGCTGTGAGGTCGGACCAGAGGGGAGAATGAACGCCTTCAGTTCTTGGAACTTTAAATAGGAGGAAAGTTCCCCCTTTTCCTCTGAAAGGGGCTGGCACAGTCTGGGCATTTTAACCCATTCGGCAAGTATTGATGGACCGAGGACTTGGGGATTTAGAGGTGACCCTAAGAGGCTGATGTTCCTGAGGGCAGACACACAGTGGTGTGAGAGTCAGGGGAAGGGCAGGGAAACATTTCCTTAGGGAGGACTGGGAGAGCTTCTCTGAGGAGGCGAAAATGGAACGGAAGCTCCAATAAGAAGGAACCAGCTACGCGAAGATCAGTGGAAAGTGCAGTTTGGGGCAGACGGAATGGTAAATCCAAAGGCCCTGTGGTGGGAAGACTTGAGGACAATAAATGAGAATAGTATGGGATGGTGGTGCAGCCAGAGTCAGGGCTCAGCTGGTGGGGCGAGCCTGATTTAAAGGATCTTGCTAGGAGGGTGGCTTCAGGCAAGGGTTTAGTAGTAGTGGCCATGTTTTTAAACCCATTTGTATGTCTCCATCACTCTGAACCACAGCAAGAGTTAAAGCTTGGTCCCACTTCTTCCTAGCTGCATGGCCTTAAACAAGTCATTTTACTTCTGAGAGCCAGTGTCCCCATCTGGAGCCTCAGGTGGTTATATGGATTCAGTAAGACGATGTATATACACGTATGTGAGGTGCTTGGCATGGGAATGTCCACTCCCAGGATCCTGCTCCTGCAAGAATCCTTGGGGAACGTTCAGCCTAAAGCCCACTCAGCCAAGGAACAGGCTGTGTTGCTGGGTTCCCCCTGCCTCTTTGCGGACCAAGATGGTCCCTAATTTGAAAAGTCAGCCTGGTCCCTTCCTGAGGACCCCCTCTGGAAATGATGAGCAAGATGAACACAGGATGGTGGTGATGGACATCATTCCTTGAGCGTCAGGCTCTGTGCCGAACACTTGACACGCGCTCTGGTGGAATCTTCGTAATAACCCTCCGTGGAAGGTGGCAATATGGCCATTGTACAGATAAGGAAATTGAGGCTCAGAGGGGTAAAGCAACTTGCTTGCAGCCCCACAGGTCACTAAGTGGAGGAGTAGGGGATCAGAGGATCCCCAAGTCCATTTCCTGCCAGCACCGTGCCTTCACTGCATTGAGTTGCCTCTCCGATTTCTAGGAACGCAGAAGGGTAGGAACAGCCTGCGCATCTATTTTTCTCACTTCTGGGGCTTTGTGCAAGCCACTCCCTCTGCCTGGAGAACTCTTCACTTGACTGTGCGTGATTCGGGGTTTACGTAAGGGTATACTTCTGTAACCAACAGCAAGGTTAAGATTGCAAACATTTTCTCGTAGCCCTGTCTCTTTAGGAAGCCCACACTCTTCCTCATTCGGGGCTCAGCTCCCCATCCTGCCTACGTCCGGCCTTTGAGGGTTAACGTGCGTATCCTTGAGACTCCCGAGGCCCCTGCGTTCCCTCCCATAATAGCACACACCACACCATGTTAGAGCTGTCAGCTCTGTCACCTGCCACCCCCTCGAAACTTGGAGCTTCCTGAGAGCAAGGAGAAGGTGGCTTGTTCACCTTGGTGTGTGTGCGTGGTACTCACAGGCGTTCATGCTGACCAGGTGGGGACCCCAGTGACTTTATAGCCCATGGAGTATTGCCTAGGAGTGTGTGTCCAGGAGACACCCCTAGTACCACCCCACCAGCCCGCCGTGGCTGCGCCAGCCCCCCTGGCACCAGGAGATGCATCCTGTGGGCTTCAGCACTGAGCCAGCCCCACCAAAAATAGGCCTGAGCACAAGCTTGCCCACACAGGGCATCCTCAGAGCTGCACGCCCACCTCCCCTTGCCTGTGAGAGTCTCATTGATTGATTTAAAACATAAAAAAGTCTTCCCAAACATCTTCTCTGAGCCAAGAAAGCTGACTACCTAGAACATTAAAATTCACATTAAACACCCGAGCCAGCGAGCTGTCCTTTCAGCAGGAACGGAGTGGAGCCCAGCATGTGTCCCGAGGTGTGAAGTGGACCGCCCCCCCCCCCCACCACAGGAAGACCGGCCCCTTGAGGTCACTCACCGAAGCCTGCTCCCCCTCACCACCTTGAGCTGGCCTGGAGGTGGCTATTTCCTGCCTCCCCCATCCGTGCCTGCTCCCGGGGCTGGAAAGGAAATAATAAGTGGAGGATTCTGGGAAAGGTGGAGGGTCTATTTTTTCCTTCAGGCTCCAAAACCGCTCCACAGGCCTATCTATGTAGATGCCAAGAAGCTGCCAGAAGGAAGAAGAAAAAACAATGTCCCAGATCTGGAGTTCAGACCTCCTAACGGTGACAGTGAGTGTTTACCAGGCGCCTGTCATCTGCCAAACACGGAGCTGAGCCGTGCAGTTTATCCGCAGCTGCTCATGCAACACCCCCAGGAGCACCGTGGATTCCCAGTTTTCCGCTGAGGACAGGGAAGCTTGGGAGAGCACGCCACTTGCCCGAGGCCACAGGCTGCTGAGAAGTAGAGCTGGAATTCAGCTTCTGGTGTGATCCCCAGACCTCCTCACTGGGGAGGGAACCGGAGGTCTGGGTGGCACCCCATTTTCTGTTGGGCTCTCGCCACTGGCCACTACGTGGCGGTTATAAAGTCCTCGAGTGGCCCCAGACCACAGCCTCGGCCTATTCGCCATGTGCCACATTGCCTCTGGATACCCAGGTGGACCAGATACCTTCCCTGCCCTTCAGGAGCTCCAGGGGTGCTGGGTGCACTTGCTGGTACTACTGAGCCCCTTGTGTCCCCCACTGAGGCACATAAAGCTAAATGGCCAGTAAAGCCTGCCCCGTTCCCTTTCTCTTTCCTCTGGGTGGACTATGGCTTTTATCCTGGGGTCCTTGGGCGATCTCTAAGCCCCCGGAAATAGAGTGCACAATTGTGTCTTTGTGGCTCTGGGGGTGGGGAGGGAGCGCATTCCCCCAGGGCGCATCAGGTTCTCAAAAACAGTGAAGATGGATTCCGTTGTATGTAAGTCGTACCTTAATACAAAAATAATTAAAAACAATTTTTTTTAGGAAAAATGAAAAA